GGTGTCTTGCCGGGGGTGCTCAGGATGTTTTGCTGGCTGTCTGGTTGGTTCAGTTATTGTTGTCCACTGACAGCTCGTCTCTCAGATCACTTCAAGAACTCGTGGGATTTCTGGGAGCTGCGAGCCCAACATTTTTGTAATTTTGTACATCTGCATGAGTCTGCAGTCCTGCAGGCTCAGAGGATTCTGGCCACTCTGGGTGTTGGAAGCAGGCATCCTCGCACTCTTTCGGCGCTTCAGGACAGACGAACCCTGGAATCCTTTTTCAATCCCCATGTAACCCATGTGAGCTATAATCTAAACTCCTTAAAGGGAGGTTATATAGGGGATTATATAGGGGACTACAAAAGGGTTTCTTAAGGGGGATACTAGGAGCTTAGACTATAGCTCATGTATCCCTGAAGTTTCCAAGGCTAGCCACTCAATTTTGAGAAGCCTACGTAGGACATGCCAGCCTCCTTCCAGCTCCCAGTCCCATGACAGACCCGGAGATGGAGGAACTGCCTTGCGCAACTGGGCTCTTGGTAACACTTTGATTCCTGAGGAATGTAGGGTTATGTAAGACTGTAAGAAGTTCATGCGGTTGCAGTATGGCATGGTCCAGACACTAAGGTGACCTATGTTCTATGTCTACATGCGACATGTCTACGCTATATCATGTATATATATATATTATTAGGTATACTTCGTGTAATAGGTTTTAAAGTGCAGTTTGTGAGTAAGTCATAATCTCTTACAATGACCCAGGCGGAGCCTCCTGTTCTGCCGCAGGGTCTCGCAAAACGGCTAGCCTATCTGACAGAGGAAGCAACAGAGCCCTCCAACCGAACAGAAGGAATCTTTGCGACCCAAAGTGCCAGGAGAGAGGTCTATTCAAAAGCAGTACCCGACTCCTGGACCTCCGGGCAAGCCATGGTGCGCGCTCGTGAGGAAGTTTTTCCGCTGCTTGCCTCAGAGGTCGCCGAGCCGCAATCTCTTGACATGCCAATAGTGGAGCCTGTGACTTTCCTCAGGAATTCAGAGGACGTTGAGGTGACCAGATTGCGGAGTGAGCTGGCGGCCGCGGAAAGAAGACAGGGCAAGCTCCAGGATCGTCTCCAAGACATGGAGGGGCATCAGGAGGACCTGCTTGCAGAGCTGAAGGCGTTTCAGCTGGAGCTTACCCAGGAGCAGCTGTACAACCAAGAGCTCAAGGCCGAGGCGGATGGCTCCCATCATGCAACTGCTACCCAGGCGGCTCAGATTAGGAACGCGGCCAAGGACCTCACAGCTGCTGGCGCCAAGCTGTTCAGACTGCTTCAGGCTCAGTATGTCATGACTGACACTGCAGCCCCTGCAAGGGAAGCTACCACTCAGAACTCCCAGAGGCCCCTGTACAAAGTCCCTCCGCGCTCATCCTTTGATGAAGCTGCGCGGACACTTCTCGCAGAGATGTCCGCGTCCCTGCAGGTTCTTCAGGAACCTGGGGCATGCCTCAGGGGGGAGAGGCACCCAAGGACGCCCCTAGGGCCGAGGCCGGCAATGCAGAAAAGAGATTTTAGGACTTGAAATTCCCTGCTTCCAAGGGCATCCATCCCTTTAAAATCAAACTCAACCCTGCAAGTCTTTGTTAAAGGTTTGTGAGCAGGCCCTCTCAAAGCACCCATCCTCCTTAATCAGGGGCATGCAGCGATCCTTGACACGCCCACAATGATGATGGACCCTCCAAGGACCCTGCGGCAGCCATCTACGCTGGCTCAAAACCTGGATCAGACAACTGCAGACTCTACACTGATGGATGCGTGTACAAAATATGTTGCTTATCTGCCAGCACTTATATCGCCCTAGTGCAAGTCATGCTGTCACTCTGTCAAAGGAGCTGTAAGAGCAGTCACTCAAAGCTTATACATCGTTGGAAGGTGGCCCAAGTCCGCCTGCCTACCTCCTAACCCTCACCCCCAAACCCTTTACTCATATTTCTCCCAGAAGCAACAGGGTCACGCAAGAGACCCACATGCCATGGAGGCATCACAGGCACAGGACTGACCAGTATCATCACCACCAGCATCAGGCTTAATGTAGACCCATGATTAATAAACGCCTTCCTCTTGAGGGCCAAAATATTAGGATACCTGTTATAATCCCTATTAAGGGGAGGGGGTTTATCAATCGTGGGTAGTGGTTAACCAGCAACACAATGACTACTCGCATTGCGAGCTTTGTCATGACCAGTGCTGGCCAAACCTGCTGCTTGTAAAAGCACTACTGTAGCTGCTGAAGGGATACTAGTACTATGGAAGCTACTATTACCAACTAAAAGCTATTACTCTTACTCTTACTCTTACTCTAACTACTACTATTACTATTACTACTATTACTACTAGTAGTAGTACTACTACTACTACTACCACTACTACTACTACTACTGCTACTACTACTACTACTAATAGTAGTACTGTTACTGTTGCTATTGCTGTTGCTGTTACCGAACTGAGTGGGTCCGTGAGGATGCTGAAGCCGAAGGTGATGCTGAGGAAGGCTGGCACTCTCAGTTCGCAGAAGGTTTCGCAGAGTTTGGGTGACATTCTATAGGAAATTCGGGATACCTTTTTTGGGGTCCCCATCATAAGGATTATGATATATTGGGTCTACATTATGGTTCCCCTAGTTTGGGAAACTACTAAAAAGGGTGTTGCAAGTTGCCGGAGCTGTTCTGAGGTCGGGGCAGCTTTCCCCTGCAAGTTCCATCAAACCAAATCATGTAGACACGCCTCATGGTAATTTCCGCAAATAGGGGGACTCCAATATAGACCCTAATATACTAGAATACTTATTATAGGGACCCCCAAAAGGGTACTCCTAACTTTGGCAGCCCCCCACATATCCCTAAACCCTATAAGCCCTAAATAGTAGTTTCCATTTTCCTTTCCATGATCCCTTTATTCCCTGTATTCCCTATATCCTCCTTGAAAGGTGCCCCAGATTAGGAGCCCTGAGGTGATGGGAAGAAGCGTGTCAAGCGAAAGATGGCCATTGTCATTGGCTTCATCGGGACGAAGTGCCAGCCAATGTGTTTTGTTGTAGGACTTGGTAAGCTAGAATCTTAGAAGTTCCCTGAACATGATTCCTGTATTAGTTCTAATTCGAAGATCCAGCAGGGCTCCAGACAACCTGCCATTAGAGCCCACGAGGTCTTTCTGAAGGAGTAACAACGTCTGCTAAGCAGGCATGGTAGGCATTGGGGCAGCCTCCAGCTTCCTTCAACAGCTGTCCGAGACAAGACTTTAGCGGGGGATACAGGAATATCTACTGTGCGCCTACAAGATTGTGTGAAGATTGCGCAGAGTTAGAGGGATTTTTTCGCAGTTGGGTACAGCTTTGATTGGAGCAGAGGTATCTAAAGGTTCCTAGCCTTGGCGCTCGAAGAAGTACCCTCCCGGCGCATGATGTTGTTGGTCAGTGCACAAGCCAGCTCACTACATTCTAGTCAGACCTAGCACCGGTGCGGCTTTTGGCTTGTTCCTGCAGCGGTCCATGCAAACGCGAAGAAGCGACTCTAGGAGTCGTTCAGGTTTGGGTTGAAATAGCGGGGATCTTTTGCATTTGCAATTTTGCACGCACGAGCACGATGCGGCATGTCATGAGCTTCAATCTGCATACCACACGTGCAGTGCCTCTGAGTGGGTACTCGCTGTGCGCTGCAATGGCGCCGCCGCCGCAGCTGACAGCAGAAGCCCTGGCGGAACTTGCGGGCTGGGCGCCAGACTTAGAAGAGCGTTCACAGAAGCTGCAGTTGAGATCTGGAAGTTTCTGGATTGCCTTATCGCAACTGCTGCCAAGGGCACGGGCGAGGCCAGCGAGGCCTCACCGCCCGGGCCCCAGTTCTGCCGTCAGCACATTCACGAAGTTTTGCTGGCTCCATGCAATATACACCACCAACGTTCACACTGACAGGCCCAGTTCTCCAAGGTCCTTCGTATTGAAGCAGCTTGGCAATGTCTAAACGCGCACCTTTCGCCAAGACATGTCAACGTCAGAGATCTGAGGAAAGATGTGCCCAAGTTGGAAGACCTCGAGGACCCTAACCTTGGCTTTAGGTCCTCGCATCTCAGCATTTGAATTCAAATGACGGAGCGGCATTGCAGGATGCTGATGACAGCACGGCGCTTGGGCCTCGGGCTCCCATCCGCACATGTTCGTACATCAAATCAAGTGGATGAGATGATCGGGCCGCAAGAAGGAGGAAGTTGATTTTTTTTTCGGCGGCCCAATCCTAGTGTGAAGCTTGGAAAAACCAGACTTTGGTCTGCGCCCATCGCAAGGCCTGGCAGTCCGCAGTCCCTTCATCTGTGGCTTGGCAAAGATAGTGGCAGCGTTCAAGCGGAGTAGGGAAACAACTCCAGCCCTTGACAAAACACAAGATCCGTACTTGCTGGTAAAATACAACTCTGTAGCTGCTAGTGCACGGGTCGACTAAAATCAGGGCACGGCAGGTAGGCAAGAAGGTCCACAGCACGGAGCTTGCAAGGCATTCTACGAAGGACTGTAGAATCACGTCGAAGATCTCGAGAGACTCCACAATTTGACACTCTGACTCTGTGCTACATGGCATGCCCCGCCCTGTCGCGAGCGTGTCTTCCTTCATGGGGCCCTCTGGATCTAAGGGTGGAGCCAATGAGCCCAGAAGAAGGTGGAGAGCGCGAATTTGTCAGTGGCATGCCCATGCCTGGTCTGTGCTGTTTGCATTTCTCTCAGAGCCCTTGGGGATGCGAGGGTCTTGCTTTGAGCGCCACAGACCATGAGCATCAGCCCGCGATGCGGCAGGTGCTAGCTTCCAGGGTGCAGCAGCTTCCCATAACATTGCAGGACAGGACAGCCAGCAAAAGCCGGGGACCCAGCAGACTGGCATCTCCTGGCTGTGTCTACCAGCATGCGTGTTCATTGCAAGGTCTCCAACTCCGACTCCCGAGGACGCGCTGCGCGAAGCTATCCGCAAAGCGCTGCGCCCCGGCTCAATCTGGGTGCTGCCCAGAGTTTGGGGGCCGCTCTGTGCCAAACTGCGTTCACAGGCTGAGGGCCTGGCAGTACTCGTATCCGTATGACGACAAGATGCTAGGCGCGGCAGAGCTTGCGGACTGCGATTGCTGCAAATGAGCTGCTGGCTAACCCCGATCCAGGCCCTAGCGTAGACCAAGTGGACCGGGCGGGCTACTCAGTACTCAGAGTCCGTGGCCACGCAGGGTGCGTGCTGCAGGGATTGCAGAGGGGTCGGCTCCGCGCTCGCCAGGAGTGGCACCTCTACAGGACTCGGCCACGCCCGCGAGGCTCGCACAAAAGGCATTCCATGGATTTCCATGTTCAACCTGCGGGCGCCAGGTCCTCCCGGATCCTGGATCGTGGTTCCGAATCTTGGCAGTTGTTTGTTGGGCTTCGCAATCCAGTTTTGAGTTTGCTTGTATTGGGGTTGTGGCGCTGTGCGAGGGGGATGAATTCCAAACTTTCCAATGCTAGTCAGCCCGCTATGCAACCTAGGCAGCGCAAGCCACGCAAGGCCTTCTCGACTTGCAGGGGCTAACGGGGATGGCTTTGCGGTAGTTGGTGCTGGATGCTGATGGCTGAAGACTCCGAAGTCCAGGGCTGAAGAGGTTTTTGTAATTTCTAAGTACATCAAGTGACAGCTCGGGCTCTCAGTGCTTCAAAGCGTCGCTTCAGTGAAGTTGTTGATCCCAAGTCATGTCATAATGTAGACCCATGATGAATAAACCCCCTCCTTTTGAGGGCCTTAATATTAGGAACCCTATTTTAGGCCCTATTATGGGGAGGGGTTTATTAGTCATGGGTTTGGGTTATTTCAGTAGCAGCCGCAATCGGGCTTCTCAACGGCTCAAAAGCCTCCATGCTCGGGGTTTCGTAAGACGGAAATCCACCTGAGATTTTATTCGGGGATACTATGGTACCTATTATAGAGTAAGATTCTATCCTCCTTTTGGGGTATAGTATATTATATAAGGAATATAATCTTACTGGGCTTAACCACCAAAAAACACTACCCAGCTGCAGGACGAGACACAGCGGTCGCTGGACAAGCAGTTCAAAGAATCTCGGATGATCTGGGGGGGCAGGTTTTTGTGAATGGCAGATCGTCGTCGTCTCTTTGTATAGGAGCTGGAGTGCCAGAGGACCATCCTGTCTTGATCTCTGAAGCTTGACCAGCCACTTTATATAAGGATACAAAATGTATACTATAGTAGTTTCCATGTTCTTTCCCGTTATCCCATATATAACCCCAATAGATACCCTATAACCCCTATATAATCCCTATAATCCCAGCCTGGAGATGGAAGTGGCAGAGCCCAAGAGTCCAAGTTTGAAGATTTTTGACACGAGTGGGAAGGTCGATTTCCGTAAAGCTATCCTTTCTCCCTTTTTGTTGCTGTCATTTTTCGACGTGTCGGCTTGCAGCGATTTTCCTGTAGCTTCATCCTGCAGGGCTTTTAAAGTAAAACGCATTGAGAGGCTTCGACGAAAGGAACCTGCAATTCAAGCAACGCCATGACCATGAAGCATAGCCCGACCAAGCGTGGCCATATACCCGAACCCTCCGAGCGACTGATCCAGCAGGGTCAGACCTTGTCAAAAAGCTATGCAAGTTGGGCAGCAAAGCCTTTTCAGGAGCACTTCATCAGACACACCTATAGTCCCCCTTATGTATATAGAATATGGCTTTGGGTATATTATAACCAGATTCCTATATACCCCATATTCTATCTACTTAAGAGGGACTATAACTTCAAACCAAACACCTTTGAGATGAACTCATGAGCCTGGATCCAGTGAGCCCATGGTTCAGAAGTCCGAAATGGATCCTTTCAAAAATGAGGGGTCCTGTAATACGGGCTATGTTTGAGGCTGTTTATCCATGGAACTCCCCAACTTCCCGGAAAGCCAAGGAGAAATCGAAGCTCCTTCATGAGCGCACCCAGCTGCTCTGCTGGAATCCGGTTCCCTTTATAGGTTTTCAGCTTCATGCTTGGGTTGGCGGAGATCCAGCTTTAATCATGCGCCTTAATCCTTTCTTCGATTCTGGCCCATGCTGAGAATTTGGACCACAGCCCTCTTCTGATAGGATTGCTGTACATTGTCTCCATACGGCCAAGGGGTTGAGCGTAGGTAGCTGACTTACCAAATTCAATGCATTTGTTTGACCTCGAGCCAAAAGAGTTTGTCTCTTCCAAGGTACAGAAGCACCCGCCTGGCGAGCCTTCCAGAGGTGCTGCCCAAGAGCCCTGGCCACAAGTCAGGAAGAACGAACCAAGCTTTGTGGGAGAGATCCAGCTGCTGCACACCTTTTTGCCTGCGGAAAGAAAGGTGCACTGTGTAACAGTACATATGATTTCACTGGGTGAGTTCGTATCTTGTTGCAGCTTACTTACTGCATGTGTGCTATCCCACACGCCAAAGCAACGACCCTTTCATCCCTTCCAGCCGTCTTCCCAGGACGGGTGTGCGCACTGTTCCACGCCACTGGGCGAGTTTCAAAGCTCTTTTCAGGGCAAAAAATGTAGGGCAATAGTCTTAGGCAAGCGCTGTGCCCTGCACTGGTGTAGTTGGAAAGACAAACACATTTTCCTCTTGGGGTTTCATTCCTGAATGGTCCCGTCGTATGGGGTTAAAAAAAAGCGTGGCCATGGGGAGATGCATTTGCAGTACTAACCGATGTTTCCAGACATCATATAAGTCGAGGAAAGTGGCAGATCGCAAGAATCCCAACTATGTGCTATTTGTCAAGGTCTTCCGAACAGGCCGCCGTGGCGCTGACAGACGTGCAAAAAAGAGCGCAGCACACTGCGAGCGCGCGCTCGCGATGAAGTGCACTGCAGGTTACCTTGCATGGGTTGAAGATATCATGCTGAAGGCTTTGGGGTGCAGATGAGTGTTGGTTTGACTCACCTCCACAAGGCCCTTGCCCTCAACACGGACTTAAACTTCATTGGCGCATGACAACTTCTGGCCATCATGCAGCGCCACTCGTTGGGGCAATGAGAACGGCATCAACATTCAGAACAGCTATGCGAGTGCGTATCCGAGTGCATCCCAAACCTTGTATATCCCTAGTTACCGGCATAGATCCGCATATATACCCTGCAGAATCTTTACTCTAAGAATTTAGGCCCAGAATGGTTCATGGAGGTACCGAGGGCTCATGATCAACCCGGAAGTTGAGCCTACGGCCGCCAAAAAATCTGTGGAGGTGCAACCTGTTAGGGTGTTTAGGGTGTCTAGGGTTTCAGGGATTTTGGGGTTTAGGGTCAGAGCGTTGATGGTTTTAGAGCGAGGATATTTGGGATTTGGGTTGTTTAGGCTTGAGGAGGGGGGCTTTGTGTTTAGGCTTTCAAGGGGCTTAGGGTTTAGGTTGACGAGTGTGGGGGGGGGTTCAGGGGGTTTCAGCGTGAGCGGGGTGCATGCGAGACTTTTTTCATGAGTGTTGATTTTTTTTTGCGGTGGGTTCTCCGCATGTTGAATCCCGTCTTCGGCCTCAGCAAGGAGGATTTTCTCATGGTGATTACATTGGACTGGTTCTGATCCACTCTACGCACCCGTAAACAGATCCCAGAAGCTAGACGCTGCACCCCAAACCTGCACTCTCATTCAATCCTTTCCCTGAGCCATACTGTAAACGACTACCTCCGTAACCGCTATCGGCCCTGAAGCTTATGAACATGGTAGTTTGTTCAGGAGCTGCTGCGCATCGCCCTGGTGAAAGCTGGAATCGTCAGCGAGATCAACTCACAGAAGCTGGAGCAGAAGGCTGCTTGAAGCTTCATGGGATTGAGTATCTTCTTATATTGGGCTGATAGCCCTTTGTAATTTATGTTTGAGGTAACCTACATGAGTCCAGTTGAGGGGAGGGCTCTGGTGGTCGAGTTATAAGAAGTCACTGAATGCATTAACCTCCAGATTATCTTTGGAGTGCCTTTGGGCTTTGGGTGCTTGGGTCCAGCGCTTTGGGTTCACATAGGGCTGACATAGGGATATATGAGGATGCAGAGGAGTGGGTCTTCAGGGTTTTGGTTTTCCACTGCAGGCTTCAGTTTCCGAGGGATGATTTCCCACAATTAGTGTGCTATACGCTTCCAGGCTTTTCTTGTAAGGATCCGAGAGTGGACCCCCTATTTCGAGAGGTGCCGGAAGTGGCCATACTGAGGAATTCCAAGCGCCTTTAGACGATTCGTAAGTCAGAATGCTACCGGAAGAGGATTCAGGTGGCTACTGTAGGGGCCTAAATAATTACCAATATTATGGTTCCATATTCCTTGTATACTTATAGTATATGGTACCTCGAATGGACCTCAAAATGATATTGAAATTATTTCGGCCTATGTAGTGCATTTTAAAGTCAGAGTTTTCTTCATAACAGCTCACCCTTCAAGGATCCTTTCTGCTTTCAGTGTTGCGCTGCCTTGCGAGTGATGTGTGGCAGTCTCAAGTTTGGGGGACTCCCGGGGGGGCGCAATGCTGACAAACTTGTGAAGGTCAGGCAAATACTCCTGAAGAAAGCCCCATAATCCCCTCGGATTCCCTCCAGTAATCTCTGAAGGCCCACAAACTTCTAAGGGTACCTCTGCTCAATAAAAGTTGCAACTTACCTTCGAAGCACCAAGCCCCGAAGCCTCAATCCAAACCCTATAATATATTCTGGTATATTATAATGGACTATAGTATATTCTAGTATAGTCTAGTCGAGTATATTATAGTACATTATAGGCTGCTGGGGGGTCACCCCGGTGTCGGGAATCGGGAACTTTGAGGAGAGCGGCATAACAAACTCCAGAATCCTTCTGAACTGCCCATAGTTTGAGTGTATACCCGGTACCCGACTTCGAAGGCCCCCATGTCACACAAATCCTGAGACTACAACTGTAGTCTCCTTAGGGTTCACTTTTAATGTATATTATAGTATAGCCCAAAGGAATTGTGGAACACATTTTTCTTATAGCTCTAAGGAGACTACAGACAATTAAACTTGTATCCCTAAACCTGGATCCTATTGATACTGATAGTAAGAATAATCATAGTAACGATAATTAATATTATGCATTAATGATATTAATGTTATATATTAATGATCATGATATTGTTAGTATCCCTAAACCTGGAACGCGGATCCGCATCGCGGCAGGTAGGTTGGAGTCGCTCGAGCCGGACAGATGCTGGGGTCCTTTGCCAAGCCTTCTTGTCACAAAGGCAAAGCCCTATTATTAGTATTCGTAGTAGCATTATAGAATTATCATGTAGGGTATATCCCGGGGATTGTGCAGGGAATATTTAAGGCTTCGTACGGGCGATAGGGAGTTTTTAGGGTTTTGTGGTTCCCACAGTGTTTGTGGTACTTGTAACGCGGTCGAAAAGGGCACGCTCTTGTGGAAACTGCGGCATTATTTACCGGGCGATCTTGGGACTTGTTTTTGGAAGATGCAGGGTTTGGGGATTTCTTATAGGATTCATTCGGCTTGATGGGGATTTCCGCGGAATCTTGTGATTTTCAAAGCCGGGAGCGTGCTAAGGATGTGGATTTTGGGTGGCATGGGCGGACCCTGACTTCAAGAAACAAGGAACAACAGAAAATCTTTCATCCCTACATAATCCTCATATAAGTTGTTTTTCAAACTTAGGGCCCCTAATTACACCTACCGTAGATAGTGGAATGACCGGAATAAGCAGCCCAGAACTTGCTTTTAATCTCCTCCCCCTAATATTACACCCCCCACCCCCTAATATTAGATACTTCCTATATATTATGATATACAATAATGGGGAGTATTTCATATTAGGGGGTGGGGGGGTGTCATGTTAGGGGGAGAGGATTAACCCGTCTCTGACCTTGAAACATTGGTGGAAGCTTTAGATAGTTTCCCAAATGAAGATGCAGGTGCAACCCTAAACCCTAAACTGCAGTGTAACCCAACATCTCAACCCTACCCCAATTTTCAACCTTGAGTCCTATGAACCCTACACCCTAAAGCCCAAAACTTCTAACTCCAAATCATGGTTCCCATTTTCCTTTCCATTATCCCTAAAAATCACCTAAATACCACCCCAATTTGACCCCAATTAAACCCAAAAGACAGCTGACTTAGGTCAGCGCCTTGCGCCTGGTGATCTCCGCAAGACTCGCCGTGTTGCCGGACAGCATCGATGATGCTGGCTTCAGCCGAGGCGCTGGTTCAACACGTTGCGGGGATGAACCGGTCAACGATACTGTAAGGAAGGGTGATCTCATGAACTATTATAGTATATCATAGTATATTATAGTATATTATACAGTACATCATGGTATATTATAGTAGGGTTCTGGGTTCAGGTCATTGAGGTTTAGGTTGTTGCAGGGAAAGGGCCTATCCTCTGAAGCTGTGATCAAAGCACCAGTGTAGACCTCGGCTGTCGCATGCAGACTTGGTTGACCAGATCAACGAAGCCTTGCCGCCGGCCCAGCTGCAGTGCGAATTGTTTCCATTTGCTGGTGGCTGTTGAGGAACTTAATTTAACTTACGAGAATGGGTATATATATATATATAGTAAATGGGTTTCCCAAATGGAGTAGTTTAGATTCACTTCATGAACAGCAACCCAGTTTGCTTGCCTTGGTATCAGCTTGGTGTGTTGGTACCGGTACCCGGAGCAGGTAGCCGCTGGTTGCGGTCAGGGTTCGTTGTGCGGCATTACTCAGGTAGGTTCCATCTTCACAAGAGTATGCTACCAGCAAGCATATGCTCAGTGTGGCAAGACCAGTCGAGAAGAAGCGCTGCTGGTTCTGCCGCTGAACTGCGAGGCCGGAAGACATCCGCTGCTTCAGCGCCAGGAAGGTGCCCCAAAGTTTCGATGCCAAGCACGCAACTTGCCAGCAGAATTTATGTGGAGTTGTCGGCAAGATCTGGCCTGTTTTGGAGCATCCTAGCTTCGGATGCGTAAGCAGTGGAACCCTGTAAAGGGATGGGCTGGTCTCTCAACTTGTGGTGTGCAACTGAGGCCTGTTCCTGGCGGGAGTGCCCTCTGCTTTGAGGATATCTGCATCTACTGAAGCTTGATTGGGGTCCCGCAGCATCCTCTGGCAGGTACGAATACATACTCCCGACAGATTTGGCGAAGCCTCTGAGCCAGCAGCTGAGAAAGTTTCTACATGATACGATTGATGGAGGAAATCTCGCACCACCTTGCGTCCATAAAGTCCTGGAAATTACCATGCTATGGGGTTTCGAAGTGGTTCAAGCTTAGGCTCGCTCAACTTGTACAGCGGACCTTCTTCGTGCCAACGTGAAAGTTTGTTCAAAAAGCCTAGATCTTCTATCTGTGAAATGGGTCCCTATGACTCTTTCAAGTTCCCAACATTTGCCCAGGGTCCCGAATGTGATCCCACATTCTCGAGACATGGCAGTTTCCATGAATAGGGGGACCCCAATATAGATCCCCAAATGCTATGATGCTTGTTCATAACAGTTATGGGGACTTGCAAACCCTCACTTTGGGAAACTCCGGACTTGAAGTTGATCCAGGCTCGGGCGAAGCTGACGAAGTCTCTGCTGCTGCTTGGACCAATTGAAGACCGGCGTCTTATGCTCCGACCGACCAAGATGCTTGTAGAAGTCCCTACAGGGTCCTTTTTGGGGTTTCATGCCGTTGCAACAAGGCAATCACCTATTGAGCTGGCTGTAGCTGGTGACATTCCTGCAGGCAGCTTCAGGCAACAGCACCCAAGAGCCGTATAGAGTTCTGATTTCACCCCCATTTTTTGCCCGGCGCCGCAATCCTTTGAAAAAGCC